TTAGGGCTTAGGGCTTAGGGTTTAGGGTTTAGGGTTTAGGGTTTAGGGTTTAGGGTTTAGGGTTTAGGGTTTAGGGTTTGAGGCTTAGGGTTTAGGGTTAAGGGCTTAGGGTTTAGGGTTTAGGGTTTTAGGCTTCGGGTTTAAGGCTTTGCGTTAAGGTTTAGGTTTATGGCTCAGGGTTTGAGGTGCTTACTGTCTTTTTAAGTGTGATGGCCCTTTCTGCGCATGCTTTGTGTTTGGGGTGTAAGGTCTGTCATGTCGTTTATAGAGTAGGGCTCAGCTGATTCTTCAGAGCCCCTCTAACTTTGATTTTTAGCTTCTGGGGAAGCCCCCTAAACCCTAAAACCCTAAAGCCCCAACGCCTAAACCCTAAACCCTAAACCCTAAACCCCTAAACCCCAGACTCTAAATCCTGAGACTGGCGATGATTCTTCGAGGCTCTGAGGTTGGGGGTTTAAGGGCTTGGGGTTTAGGGTTTAAGGGTTTAGGATTCGAGTTTGGGGTTTAGGGCTTAGGGCTTAGGGAGTTTAGGGAGTTGAGGGTTTAGGGTTTTGGGGGGATTGTTTCGAGACCCTGGCCTGAAACCCCACACTTCAAACCCTTCAAGCCCAACCCAACCCCTGCCCCTCTCTTTTTGGGAATCTTGCTTGTGGGGGCGGTCTCTGTCCCCTAGCCTCCCGCAACCCTAAACCCTAAACCCTAAACCCTAAACCCAAAACCCTAAACCCTAAACCCTAGGATGCACCCCGACGTTCCTCTGATGGTCTACGTGAAGGTCCATGGGCAAATAGCAGCAGGGCAAGCCTCTAGGTACCGCAACTGTGAGACACGGGCAGTTGCAACTACATTGCCGTGTTTGCCTGACTTGTAACTGATAACCCCAAACCCTAAGCCCCAAACCCACCCGAATTTATGTCTACCCCTACCACCACGATGACAAGCCTCTGCGAGGGGCTAAAGGGATCTCAGCGGAGATCGGGAGCAGAGCTCCCAAAAAAGGAGGAAGTGCGGTTGTTGGGATTCAGGCTTCAGGGCTAGGGCTGGGGTTTAGGGTCTAGGGTTCAGGGGTCTAGGCCTTAGGCTTTAGTTAGGGTTTAGGGTTTAGGGTTTTGTATAGGGTTGACGGTTTTGGGGCCAGTTTAGGGGTCTAGGTTAGGGGCTTAGGGTCCAGGGCTAGGGTTGGAGTTTAGGTTTGCTGTAGGTTTGGTGCGTTGAGTTTGGCGTTTAGGGTTGGGGCTTGTGGTGTTTAGGGTTTAGGGTTGAGGATGTAAGGTCCGGGGTGAGAGGCTCGGGGCGGTTTCGGGTGTAGAGTATTGCGAAGTCTCGGTGCAGCTTAGAGTGTACAGTAGACCTGCATCACGAAAAAACCTTCGCCTCTACGAAGCCTGAAGGAGGCAAAGTCCAATCCACTCAAAACATCCATAATGGTAGTAAAGCCTCTACAGCCCATAACGTAGGTGCCTTAATAGTTAGAATAGGGTTGAGTATAAGAGGGGGCTGTCTTAGTCAGGTTGTAGGCTGTTTGGGGCATGCCTCCCGGCCTTCCTCCCTCTCTGGTGCCCCGGAGGGCGAAAGAGCCTTCAAAAATTTGGCTCCTTCGCGGAGAAATGCTCCAGATCTCGTACGGTGCCCATGAGGGACCGCTCCGATCCCAAACTCCCAAAAAACACGTCCTAAGCTGTAAGGATCATCCATCGCCATAAAGCATGGCAGGCTATAGCTAGCATTGCAAATGTTCCTACCTGAGTATTCGTAAACCTCCGGATGACCAGAAGACGACAGCCCGGTTCAAAGTCCACTTGCAGTAGTTAATCGATGTGGTCCCGTCGCCTCAGAGGTCGTTCAAGACCTTGTACGCCTCTATCGACAGCGTCTTCCCCGATGTTAGCCGGTCAAACCACCTGACGAGGGCACAAAAGGCGTCACACACACACACACACACGCACCAAAACCCTAAACCCTTAACCGTCGACTCAAAGCCAACCCCCAACACAGAACTTTCAAAGCCTGACCCCTCAACCCAAACCCCAAACCCGCCCCAGAACCCAAACCCCAAGCTCAAATCCTGAACCAGAACCACAGAATAGGGTTTTGGGGGCTCCTTATTGCAATTATAGTATAGTATACCCCAAATCCTATTCTAACTATTCAGGCCCGAACCGCACCCCTAGGCCCTGAACGCTGGAAACGCTGAAACCCCAAAGCCGATTGCCGGAGGTTTAGATCCGGGGCTTAGAGCTTCGGACTTAGACTAGACGGTAGAGAGTTCAAGGTTCAGGGTTCGGGGTTTAGAGTTCAGGGTTTAGGGTTTAGGGTTCAGGGTTTCGGGTTGCGGGTTCGAAGTTTAGGGTTCTGCTCTTCCTTCCTACTGGGTTTGGTTGCGGCCTTCTCCTTTCAAGGCTCCGGACCTCTAGGACGACAGCTCCTTCCTCCTGGATGTTGACATTTTGAACTACTTTTGCCAGCCCACGAATATAGGGGCCTTAATAATCAGAATAGGGTCTAATAAGGAACCCCCCAACTTTTAGTAGGGCCCGTATATTACCATACCAGAGCTGTCTGGTGCTCGTGTTTTAAGCCTCGGGGCCTCACGGGAGAACGGCTACTGAAGGGAAATAGTTATGACTGCTTATCACCCACATGACAATACTTCGTCTATGGGTTTAGGGTTTAGAGTTGTAAGTCGTGACTACCCAGGAATCGCAAACCCCTTGCAGAACATCCAGACACCCTGCTTCGTCTCGCTTTAAAGGCTGATAACTACCTACAACCCCTATGGCACCCGTTGCAGGAACTCCTGTAACCCTAAGCCCTAAGCCCCTAAACCCTAAACCCTAAACCCTAAACCCTAAACCTTAAACCCGAAACCCTAAACCCTAAACCCTAAACCCAACATCAACCTCTCCAAACACCAAGCACAAGTGGCCTCGCAATTTAACTTTACTTGGAGGATCATGGGACTTAGTAAGTAAGGTTCTAAGTCCCCTAATTGGGGTTATAATTATGGTTACCTTATTTATAACCCTAGTCACTATGTCCCATGATCCTCCAAGTAGGGACCCTTACACCGCATTACTCGAGGTACCCGTCTACCATAAAACTAAAGTCATAGGATTTAGCACGGTGGGTTCCCCTAAACCCTAAATCCTACGCCCTAGCATCAGTGGCGTTAGGACTTCGGCACCACCGGACCTGTGCGATTTGCAGGTGCTCGCCACACCGGCCGGGACGAATTTTTCCTGTCGATGGCGATTTTGAAGGGCTTATTTCAGGGGCCTCACTGAAGTCAGTCGGGTTTCAGAGTATCTTTATCGTCTAAGTATACGGGGACTATAAGGGAATCCTTGGACTAATTGTTCACGAGGACCTACGGTCCAGGCCTGGGAATGTGAGGACTTGAGACATGACGATGACGATGATGATGACGGTGATGATGATGGTGGTGATGGTGATGGTGATGGTGATGGTGATGGTGATGGTGATGGTGATGGTGATGGTGATGGTGATGGTGATGGTGATGGTGATGGTGATGGTGATGGGGATGGTGATTGCGGTAGCCGGCTTGACGGTGGTGACAAACGTGATAATACCGGCAGCCAGCGGTTCTGAGAATCATGGCCAGGTTGTAGTACATGGAACACATGACCATCCCTGCCTATCGAAGGGTGCTTAGGCCGCTAGCATTGAAGCCAAGAGCCCGACACCACCAAACTTAGGCTTTCGGATCCCAAGACAAGAAAGTGCTGCATACAGCGAACCCCGAAGCAACCCCATCCCAAACGAAGCACAAGGAAGTCAAGGCCAAGGACGGGTTGGGTCATCTCGACACCCCTAAACCTTGAATCCTACCCCAAACTCCAATCCAGAAGAAGGAAGCGCAACAGCCAAGACACCCAATCGGAGTTCGATGCATCCTCGACGGCTGAGGCATAAGGTCTGGGATACTTTCTCACAAGATCTCACACCCAGGATTTTAGCGCTTCTATACGAGCATATATGTACCGTAATGGCAATGGTCGCAACGGCAACTATGAGAGTGGCAATTTAGCGATCCTAACAACCGCAGTGACAATACAATCAGGATTACAAAAGCATGGCAGATGTCACTGTTGTACCAAAAGTTGGTACACGCAGGCCCCATGTAGTGCGCTCGCATGTACATACATGCGCACACGCGTAGCTGCAGATGTAGATACGGATATAGATGCAGATATAGATACAATTACACACACAGATACGCATTACAGATACAGATTCAGATGTTCTAGTTCCCTATATCTCTGAATTACAATCTCGCACAATACGGTGTAAAGGTACACATACTACTCTATGTTGTAACAAGTTTTGTATGTGTATATATATATATACATACATACAAACATTATGGACTCGTTCACGAGTGTATATACACTGATTACAATACACCCATGCGACATCGCGAGCTTGGGTCCTTCTGGATCAGCTCGCCAACCTCGGCCTCAGGTCAGACCAAGGACGCTTCGCTTCTTCAAACATGTCTATGGAATTGATTGTTTTGGGGTTTAGGGTTTAGGGTTTAGGGTTTAGGGTTTAGGGTTTAGGGGGTTGTAGGGGAGCAGCTTCAGAGGTTTGGGGCTTGGGATGCGGGAGTTTAGCGTGTAAGCTCGGGCATTTGAAGGTGCAGGTGTCAGGCTTCGTGCTTTGAGGTTGGCGCTAGGGATTGGGGAGGAAGTCTGCGACCAAGGATGGAGGCCTGCATGTTGTCAACCGAATATGGGTTTCGGGTTTGGGTTTAGGGTTTAGGGTTTTGGGTTTCAGTTAAGGGTTTAGGGTTTTGGTTTAGGGTTTAGGGTTTGGGGTAACCCTCGGCTTTAAAGGTCCACTTTGCTTCCCATCCCCAAGGCCGTGGCCAATCTTACCTGTTGGCCTGGTGACACGGCCGGGTCTTTGGGTTGGAGCCGGCGGATTCGAAGCTCCATGGAGAGTGCATCAAGTGGGATCTACTCCCTTTTTGGATTATGGGTATGGTTATGGGGTGGTATTTCATGAGGCCCCTATACAAAACTACTAGTCACACCTTATAAAACCGCTTGAAACCCACATATAGCCTTTGCACAAACCGTGTTGGACCCTTAGCAACCACTACTCAACCCTACACAACTTTTTTTCCAAACCTGTTCAAAGCCCACCCATTGCCCGGATAGAGCCGTGCAAGACCCTCCTAAACCTGTCACCCCAAAGTAGACCCTAAACCCTAAACCCTCAACCCAAAACCTCTAAAACCTCTAAAACCCTAATCCCTAAACCCTAAACCCTATTCAACCACGGCTCTTTTTGGAGAACTCACTACAGGCCGCCGAGTCGCAGCCCCCATGGTGAAGGCTTGGTTCGTCTCGGGGTCCCTGGCCTCAACGGAGATTTGGGTTTACGGTTTAGGGTTTAGGGTTTAGGGTTTAGGGTTTAGGGTTTAGGGTTGGGGCTTGGGGTTTGGGGTTTAGGGGGTTTGGGGTTTAGGGTTTAGGGATTAGGGTTTAAGAGGTTTTGGGTTGAGGGTTTAGGGTTTAGGGGTTGTAGCTTTAGGGTTTAGGGTTTGGGGTTTACGGGTTTTGGGTTTAGGGTTTAGGGTTTGGGCGTTTAGGGGTTTTGGATTTAGGGTTCAGAGGTCTGGGGTTTAGGGGTTTGGGGTTTAGGGGTTTAGGGGTGGGGTTTAGGGGTTTGGGGTTTAGTGGTTTGGGGTTTAGGGTTTGGGGTTTAGGGGTTTAGGGGTTTTGGGTTTAGGGTTTAGGGTTTCGGAGGCACATGGGGCGTTGAATGATCTAGTTGAAGGATTCTTCATGATTTAGGGTTTGGAGTTAAAAGTGGATTTAGCCTGTCATTCCAAATCTCTTGGGATGCTTTAGGGATTCAGGTTTAATTTGGGGATTGGTGCCTTCAGGGTATCGGTTCGGCGTTACAGGTGCGGAAGGGGTGCACTAAACCCTAAACCCCTAAACCCTAAACCCTAAACCCTCTCGTGCGTTGAATATCGAAGAGCTGCCTTGGAGCCTCACCTCCGATACCTTCAGCGATGAAAGCCTGGAGCTTCCCTATCAGAATTGCAACTTGTGGTCTGTGGGTTTTTTTAAGTGTAGTAGTGTGGGTTTTGGGTTTAGGGTTTGGGGTTTAGGGTTCCTGAAAGAGTTCTATATAAGGGCTATTATAAAGGTTTAGGGTGTAATGGGGGCCTGTGCTTGGCGAGCTCAGGGCCTTGGAGCGGCTACCTCTCACGACCCGCCTCGCGACTGAGGTAGGCGGAGGTGAGCGGCTGGATGTAGCCTGCAAAGGCCAGGCTCGACTCCTCTACTTCGTCTTATGGGGGATTCCGAAAATAGGGGACCCTAATATAGTACCCTAAATAGTAGGATCCTTATTATAAGGACCCCAATAGGGTACCCTAATTTTCGGAAACTCCCTTATCAGGGTTTTAGGCTTTAGGGTTTAGGGTTTGCGGCACAGGCATCACAGGCTGCACGGCTTCGGCGTCCCGTTTTGGCCACCCAAAAAAAGTTTTGTCACCACTCCAACAAAACCCTGAAATTTCTAAACCCTGACGCCCCCAAACCCAAACCTCGAAAACCCTAAACAGTATATGCTTTGTGGACTGCAAGGCCGTCCTGACCAGTAATGTAGTAATGATAACAAGAAGAAGAAAAGCTCATGACTTACAACATGTCTCCACTATGGTAACGCAGATGCAACTCCTTGAACTAAGTTCCTGACCCCTGTTGTTGCACATGGGGGGTCAGGCTCGCCACGACCCACAGCCCAAACCCAGGATCCTAAAACCCGAACTTGGAGATGTCTTTATCCCAAAACCCTTACAGCCTTACAGTAAGCCTGCCCTGAAACCCTAAACATCCCAAGCCCTTAGCCCCAAACATCCCCAAACTCCCCAAACCTTTTTACAAAACTACCAACACCCCACGAAACAAACCCTAAACCCTAAACCCTAAACCCCAAACCCTAAACCCTAAACCCTAAACCCAAACCCGGCACAAAGAAAGACGAGCCTTTCGACTCCAAGTACTCGTAGAGCTTCTGCTCGTCATCGGACGGCACCGACGCAGCGGTCACGTTGCCTCCCTCATCGACGCTCGGGTAGGTGAAGATCCTGGTCTTCCCTTGGCGCGCGGACTATCAGTGGCTAGAAGGCCGCACACAGTCGCCACAACACACACCCAAACTTTGATTGTTGCATTTTCAACTCAACCGTGCTTATCATGGTACTGGTCTTAATTAATACGAAAACCAAAAACTGATCTGGATGATGATACTAAGAAACCCTAAACGCTATACCCCAAAAACCCAAAACTAGCCCTGAGAACCCATGCAAAACCCTTGAAAGAAGACCTTGTACAGCCGTATCAAACCCCGCAAGTCCTTCTAGAACCGGCGTAGAACAACCCTAAACCCCCAAACCCCTAAACCCCTAAACCCTAAACCCCTAAAACCCTCAACCCCTAAAACCCTCAACCCTAAACCCCAAACCCTAAAGCCGGAAACACTACACCCCTGAACCCTAAACCCCTAAACCCTAAACCCCTAAAACCCCTTATGGAAGCCATGTAGAACACCGGCGGTGCGGCGGAGCATCCGTTCTGGAAGAGGCTTCCGAAGGCCGCCAGCATCCCACCCTTTTGGCTTTAGGGTTTATAGCAATTGTTAAGGGTTTAGGGGTTAGGGTTTAGGGTTTAGGGTTTAGGGTTTAGGGTTTAGGGTTTGGGTGCCAATAAGTTTTGACCCAAACGTTTTGACCAGGTTTTCCGACTGAAACCTGTTTCTGGAATTGGCGGTCCTCGGCTGGGGGCTGGCTGGGCTGGGCCTGGGCTGGGCTGGGGCCGGAGGGGGTTCGGGGCCTGGGTGCCAATAACGTTTTGAGCGAAACACTTTCCTTTTGAAACTTGACTTGGGGACCGGTGGGCCGGGGGGTGGGGGTTGGGAGCTGGTGTGAGCGACGTTCGGAATGCTCTCGAAAGTGAACCCTAAACCCTAAACCCTAAACCCATTACTCTACAATATGGAATGTTGAAGATCAATAATTGCAGTGATTTATCCCCATCACGATGCATTTCAAAAGGATTACCCGACCATGTCAGGCAAGATTGTAAACTCGCTGAGGTCTTGGGCGAGGTTCCTGTTTTGTTCCGTGTCCTGCCTTGCCCTGCTCTGACTTGTTTCTATCCTTGCCTTGCTGCTATGAAATCACTGGCTTTCGTAATTCTGCTAGCTCACACCGCAAAAACCCTGCAGCGCCCAACATGCAACTTCTCTTTTATCCTTTGCTTGAAAAGAAGGAATTGCCAATAACCCTGCAGACTTTCTCTTTTGAGAGCTACTTTTGATTTTTGGGGTGTGGGCTGCTGGACTGGGCCGGGCCTCTGCTGCGGTACAAGACAAGCAATTTTAGGGTTTAGGGTTTAGGGTTTAGGGTTTAGGGTTTAGGGTTTCTATATATTTCTTCTTGAGGGTTCAGGGCTTAGGGTTTGGGGTTGGTAGGGTGTGGGGGTTTGGGGACAGGGGGGGGCCGGAAGTCTGGAGGTTGGGGCCAGGCAAGCGTTTTGGGGTTTGACTTAAGATTTCTCGCGTTTAAAGGGGGGATTTGTTCGAATCCGAACGCACCACGCAGTCCTGATTGTGTGGTTCATGACTTTGGGATTTGGGTTTTCCTAGATGTTGCAAACTGTTGTTTGACCTTGCACGTGATCACCCCCACATGTGCTTCTCACACTACCACCATCAGGCCACTTTACACTATGACCCGATTCGAGGACCTTTTGGCACCGCGGCTTTGGGTTTCGGGCTTCGTGTTTTGGGTTCGCAATCTAGGATTGCACACCCTAAGCCCTAAACCCTAAAGCCTAAACCCTAAACCCTAAACCCTAAACCCTAAACCCTAAACCCTAAAGCCTAAACCCTAAAGCCTAAAGTTTCGTTTCCTCAAAATGCCAGGGAGGGCCTCGGAGTTGGCGTAGCTCTCCGGGTTGAAGAGGGCCCGCTTCAGCGAGTAGCCGCCTCCACCAACCTAGAAGGATCTTGCGACTTTAAGGGTTAGCGAAGGCTTCCAAGGGATCTACAGAGTTCTCACATATAGGGGTTTCCGAAAATAGGGACCCCAATATAGTAGCCTAAATAGTAGGATCCTTTTTATAAGGACCCCAAGACAATGTACCCCTTATTTTCGGAAACTCCCATATGCCCTAGAAGGTTTGAGGTTTAGGGTTCAGAGTTAAGGGTTCACGAATTTAGGGTTCCCCAAGGGTTCGAGCGTCGTGTCTTAGCTTTTGGGGTTAAGGCTTTAGTGCTCCGACGGTATAATGGCTCTACGATATCCGGACACCTGTTTTGTCCGCTGCGCATCCACTTGAGCTCAAGGCCTTCGGAGGTGCGAGTGAAGCAAACCGCAGACGCAGTTCGGACTGCACATGACTGCGACAGCTCCCTAATTTTAAAGTTCGCGAGCACATCAGGCCTTGACTTTCTGGCGATTCTCGCCCTGCCTGCCTCTTGACAAGACATCTTCTTCTTGTTCGATCCGTAGGGTGTTCTTTCTAAGAAGATTCATCATGGGCTCCTCATGCGCATTACCAACCTTAGTAAGAGCGTCAGCCGGATTGAAGTTGTGAGGCACCCACCGGATTCGACCTCGAAGTTTGGCAAGCGATTCCTGAATTATCGCTACTTCTAGCGCTGAGCGGTCATCTTCGCCTTGCGCTTGCTCATTCTTGACCGTGTCGAACAAACTCTTTGCGTCCGCAATGGCGACAACCTCGGGGTCCTTGTACTCGTTGCTTTCCTCGGCCACCACCGTTGCTGATCCTCGCAGTCCAAGCTCTACCTCAATGTCCACTGCCATGTCGCGCGGGTTGAAGTGGCTGTTGCAAATGCTCTTCCAGAAAGCCACCTGTTTCTCCATGGCACCCAACGCCGTAGAGAGCGATATGCTTTCACAGAGTAGCGTATTCCCAGCCTTACGGCGCAGCCTCCGCGACTTCCAGGCAATGAGAGATACTGGAGCTTCATGTCCTTGATTCAACAACGGGGTGGTCATGCCTTGAAGCCATCCATGCTGAGACTTCTCCTTTCTGGACTTGTCGAAGGCGGAGTCGGAGATGAGCACATGTCTCACTTCTTGCTCCCGTATAGGGTGTACTCTCAGCGTGATGGCGTGCTTCTTGAGGTGTCCGATCACGTCGTTGATGGCCCATGCTTGAGCGACTGTGGGGGATGCCACGCAACCAGCATAGATGGAAGCTGCTGCAGATACATCGGGCCTGCCCTCACGAGCTACCCAGTTGATTGAAGCGATAGCGCCCCGAAGTTGGGATATTTCTTCAGGAGTGCACGAAGTTTTGTCTGCAGCTTTCTGCGTCACCTTACGGTTGATCGTCACGAACTTGAGCCTGTGTTTGATGTAGTCGTGCATTGAGTAACGGTACCCGTAGTCGCTGTCCTGGATGATTCTCCGGCCAGCATATGACGTGCCCTCTGGATGGTCTTGCAATCGAACGATTTTGCCAAACTTGAACCGCTCCTCGAGCTGCCGCATCAAGGTCTGGTGTCTTTTGCCCCCGGCCTCCAGCAAGTCGTCAACCTCGATGACTATGATCCCTTGCGTCTGCTTGGGATGCTCGTCGCCTTCCTTGCTGTCCAGCGTGAGGACACACCTGTCGTAGGCATTGATGCGGTAGCCAAGTTGTTTGACCAATACTTCCAGCAGCGATCGTCTCCACCAAGCCGGACCGCTCACCAGGCCGTATACTTCGCCGTTCAACAGGATCAGCCGCTCAGGGTGACACCCTTCGAAGATGCCGTCCGATGGCATTATGCATGCCAGCTTCTGCGCTCTTGTGGTGGGACGCCCTTGTAGAAACGCTGTACGAGCATCTTTGACCGTTCCCGGCCAACTCCTCGTCGCCGACAGCTGTAGGAACTGATACATTGACTGAGTCAACGGCGTCGGAGCTGACCGCTCGATGTCGTTGATGAGCGGGTCGCGCCATCCTATGACGCACCACCTTGATTTTGGTGCCACCTTCTCCGCCTCCTTGGCGGATAGCTTGTGTCCGTCGAAGTTGTCGGGCAGCACGGAGAACTCCTCCGTGGGCTTGTACCGATCTACAAATCGGCTTGGAATCACATGATCGGGATTCTGAGCTTTGAACTTTCGGCTTTCCTCGAGCGATAGGATGGTGATGGCCCCACTCTCAATCAACGAGGCCACTTCCTTGTTCCTCGATTTCTGGAACTTGCCTTGTTCATCTTTGCTCAGCCGATTGAACTGCACCTGTCCAGGCGATTCCTTCTTCTTCGCCATGTAGAAACGCTTGTCGTGATGGCTGTACGTTACCACCCCTTGCTCGGCGACAAAGGTTTCTTGAGAGGCCGCGACCGGTTCCCACCGGTCTCGCACTTTGTTCCGCCAGTATTTGCGGCCATCCGTGTTGTTCGGGGAGTCCTCGGCCATTTCCAGAAACGTAGTCCTTGTCTCCGGCGTCGGCCAAGGTCGTGGGGTTGCCGAAAACGGGTATGGCATTGGTCGATGTTCTTGGCTCTCGCTCCGGCGAACTGGATTGAATGGCATCGTTCCACCGGAGGCCTCGTCGACTTGTATACTCGCCCGGCGAGATGGGGCGGGAGTGCTCAACGTAGGCGTTCCCTCTCCCGATGCCTTAGATGGTGCCCGAGTGCTCGCGTCCGCAACCAGATCGACGTTCTCCGTCGCGGGCTCGGCGAGGATCGGCTCGTGCTCCGGCATCGGCTCGTCGAGCTCCTCGGGAATCGGCTCCAGGATGTTCTCGGCGGGCTGGTTTTCTCGACTGTCACCTGGCATCTCGGTGTCTTTGGGCGCTCCTTCATCTTCAATGTCGGTGTAGTTCTTGAGCTTTCCGGATTCCATTTTGTCTAACATCTCGGGAGAAATGAGCTGGGATATCTCGGCGCCTTGTCGCTCCTCTCGCGTGGCTCCACGAACTTGTTCACGAGAGGCCTTGATGAGGTATCCTCGTAGACTTATCCAGAGCGACCGCCCATTTTCGCTCTCAGCGATGACTTTGCCTGGCCCGGACCAGCCGACGAAGTCTGCGGTGTCTCTCCATACGTACACCACGTCCCCGGTTGATATGGGATTAATGTCGCTGGTCCTGGTGTTGGCCCTCGTCGCTCGGTTCACAGCCTCGCGGTCCTGAGTTTTCATCCACTCCTTTGCCGCAATCTCCCGGATTTGAAGCGTGCGCTGCATAACGTCAGTCTGGGGGTCCTGCAGCAACTCCTTGGCAATGACGTCGTCGGACAAGAGGTGCATGGGGGGCCTCAAGCTGGATCCGAAAACTCGCTGATGAGGACTGAACCCGGACCGATCAAGATATTGATTCCGAGTCCATAAAGTCTCGTTGGCCGCGATGAGGAGCTCGTCATCGGTTGTGACGGCAGCTTCCTGACATACTGTTTCCAGCTTGTCCTTGAACACTCCGCCTGCTCTCTCTGTCCTAGCATTCTGCCAAGGGCTGTTTACGTCGGCATAGTGGAGGAGGATGCCGGCGTCGGAGATGACGTCCACAAACCACCGGCCGGTAAACTCTCCTCCTTGGTCCACGACGAGCATTTGTGGCGCGCCGTAGTGTGCGCACCACGACTTCATAAATGCTTTTGCCACTGTTTCTGCAGACTTGTCCGGTAGTCTTTCGGTCCATTGATACAGGGTGCCCCAGCATAGCACATTTAGCCATGGCTGTCTGCGCATGTAAAACAGATCCATTCCAACAACCTCATTGAATCCCATCTGCCTCGTCAGATGAGCTGGCCTCTGTAGTTTGGGCTTCTTCCGGCCCTCGCAGATTGGGCACGTGAAGGATCTTTTGGTCCAGCGAATGATCTCCGGACGAATCCCTGCATGACGTAGTGCTCGAACGAAGCTCTTGAGGTCGGGGTGTCCTAAATTCCGATGTAGTCGATACAACTCTCTCCTTAGATCTGGCTTGAGAAGGTACTCCCCGTCCTCGTCGTGGCCTTGCTCGTTGATGTTTAGTTCTCGTAGCTCTTGAGCCACTTGTTGTTCATCTTCTTCACGAAGTTCTGGTGGCTTTTCCTGAGAACTGGCGAGTTTGTCGTTGTTGTCCAGAGTCGCCGTGGGCACATTGTTGATGAACTCGTCAAAGTCAAAATCTTCGAATTCGGTCGAGGACGATGCCCTCGAAGACTTGGCTCGTTCCCCCAAGATTTTCTGCGAAGGAAAAGCCATAGTGACCCATTCCGTTTGGAATGCGACCTCGTCACGCTGATAGGTATAGAGGTCGTGGGCCGCAGATTTGGCCATCTGGGTGGCCAACGTGCGCCATGCGGCCGGCAAGATGATCTCCACACTCACGGCGAAGCTGGTGTGGCCGGTCCAGGGTTGATGCCCGGGTTGAGGTCCAGCCACTGTCCAATCATCCTCAATGATGCGCGAGCCACCGACCACAAATTGTTGTGTCGATGTGCGCTTCCCCGTGAAGTGGGTACGTGAAACATCAAAGATTTTGCACTCGGAAGGTGTGCATAGTGTCTGCCTCGGAGAAAAGTGTAGGCACCGAAGTTCACCTGGATGCCACTGCCAGTGGTCGGGGCATTCGAAAACAGGAAAGTGATGAACTTGCAGGTGCCTCCGCAGACCTGTGAAAAGAACTTGTTGAAAAATTGGTAGCTCTCGTGCTTTGAGCTCGTAGTGCATGACGTGTTTGTCAGCTTGTTTCGCAAGCCGGTTAATCACACTCTCCAAGTTGGTGAGGAGGACTGACTTTCGGGCTTTGGCGCTGCCCGATGGACTGATGCTGTACTCAATGTCGAGGGACAACACTTCTGGCTGTTGTTGCAGCACGCGTAAAGCATCTGAGGCGGTCCGTCCTTTGGACGAAATAGGTGGCTCCAGGATGAAGCCGCGTCCAGCATCCATTTGGAGTTTGGCGAGTTGCACCATGAACGCCATATGCCGCTTCGAACTTTCCTCTCGCGTCTCTTCCCCATCGGAACCTAGCATCACCAACGCGGGACGAGATGCGCTGATGAGTTGTAGTGCTTCTCGACGATGATGAGCCACCCCGAAATCCCAGGCGCTCGTCATGTCTATTGCGCTGCTGATTGTCCCTCCTTGACCTCTGGGATGTTGCTTGAGATCCGAGCTCCTGGAGATAGATGCTTCGGTAGCTGGCTGTGTCACGCCTTGAACCAAGCGCTTTACTTGCTGTCGATCAAGTAGTGACTGTCGTCCATCTAGATCCCCCAGCCAGTCACGCTGCATCTGTCCTATGGGAAAAACATAACACCACGTGGATCCCGTAGATGAAGTCTCTCGGTTTTTCTGCATCTCATTGTTGACATATTCTAACCTATCTGCTCGTCTGGATCCCGTAGATGAAGTCTCTTGGTTTTTCTGAATCTCGTGCTCCCACATCCATTGCTGTGTCTCTTCGCTCCAGTGCCCTGAGTCTCGGGGCATTCCCAGAACTTGTAGTTCGGCTCCACCTTGCCATTGAGCCATTGACACCATGATCAACAGTGTCTTCAACACCCATCCCCTTTCGTCTAAGGACTTAACCAACTTCTTGGCCTTTGTCTGCTCACACCGCTGAAGGGCTTCGCCGGTGACCATCACGCGTTGGGGTCCTCGAAGTCGTTGGGGTTGGGCATGTCCACGTCCTCCCAGTTGTCCTCGGAGTTGAGCTCGAACCTCTCGGGTAGGTTTTGTGCTCCAGTGGGTGTCTTGGCTCGTTGCACTGGGCGTAGTCCCTCCGAGGTCATTCGCGTCCTGCCTCGGGGAGGTGCCGTAGTTGTCCTCGGAGCTGCCGAAGAAGATTTGGGACCAATGCACTGTTCGGCATCGGGTTGGTGCCGCACTGTCACCATGCGCCCCTGGTCCATCCGCACTTCCCGAGGTCCCTGCTCCGGCTTTCCCTTTGGAGGAGGGAGATAACTCGGATATCCCTGCCGGTTCGTTGGGATTTTCGGCGCTTCGTCTTTCACCACCACTGGGTCCCTCGTGACGGCCGATGACGCTGGAACTTCCTCGGGTCGGGACCACCGTGCTCCGCAATGTGTGCATGTCCACCACTTCGCCCGTTGATTGCCACGGCACCGAAGAGCGTCGCTGGGATGTTGACATTGGCCCACCTGCACCAGGAACTTTCGATGTGCATTGGACTTGTTCAGCTGTTTGCCGATTCCTTGTGCCATCGAACTGGGCTTCTTGTACTGCTTGCTCTTCGTAGGTGGCTGCTGGTGGTCCTCCGGGTCCTCGTCGATCGCTTGGCTGCCCTTCGTCACGATGTAGTCCACCACCATTTGCGATCTTGCCGTCATCAGGATTTGTATCACCGCCAGGGTGATCCGCTTCCACGCTGCCAAGCGCTTTGTTGTGCTCATCTTCTTGGAGTCCAGCGGGATGTCCGCTGCTTCCGCCGCCGCCATCTGCCCAGCGCGAGCCGCTAGGCTGGTCATGATCACGAGTGCGAGGCGACTGGCGGGCCGAATTTGCAATCCAAACTGCCGCTCTAGCGATCATTCGCTTGAACATCTCATTCGCGGATGGGACGATGGACTTTCGATTCACTTGCTCGAACGCATCATCAAAGTCATGACAACAACTGTCCTGTCCTTCTTCATGACTCTCTCCTACGTCGCCCATCCAGAAATGGTGGGTTTGAGGATCACCACAACGAAACCCAAGCTGCACAAGCCACTCCCGTTCACTGTCACTGACGAACCTAATCGAACGTGCAGTAAAGGCCACGATGGATAGTCTAGACCCAGTCCAAGGCATCGTGGCATGGTAGGTTTTGGGGTTGAACTTGTACATTCTGTGGAACGTGTTAACTAATCTTCCCGGAGTGCGAACACCGCGCTTGAGTCTCCATGCGACCTTTTGGCAGCTGGCAACCTGTTTCGGCTCAATCTCCAACCACAGCTCCCCTTGGGAGAACTTGCCGAAAGAGCATGTGACGTTCTCTGAAGAGCCGTCATTGTGTGCATCCATGTGCACCTCGGAGCCCGTCTGCATGTTGATACTGACCGAGGTCCATGTGAACGACTCATCGGCTTTGGACTTTATCCAGCTGTTCACATACTTGCACAGCTCCGTGTACTCCTTCGTGTCATTGGAGATGCCCTTGAACTTGCCATGAGCATAAAGTCCCAGCATTATGCGACCCGGTTTGGGCCCAGTCGGCTGCATCACTGCTCTGGCCTTGGGGCGCCAGTGCTCCGGAATCTTGGCCAACACCTGCTCCATGTCCTTGTAGCTGAAGTGCTCCCGGGTGGCCTTGTCGTGAGCCAGGTCATTGACGGCATCGCGTAGTTGAAAACGCTGACCTATACCCTGAACACCCTGAGCTGCATCGCCACTCTGAGCATCGGTCTCCTCGCGGTCACTGCCTCCCGAAATTGTTGTGGCGATGACGGGCACGCGAAAGGGATCACGACCTTCAGAGTCACACAGCTCAGCCGGGAGCTCCCACGGGGTGTGGCCGAAGTTCATGATGTCGACCGAACGATGACCCGAGGACAAACGGGTCATGGGTGTCGCTTGTCCGTTGGGAAGTCGAACTTCGCCCTTGTCGAGGTCTATGATGGCTTTGATGGCTTCCAAGTAGGAGATGGGCAACAGGGGCGGCGTCTCGAAATCCTTGGAGTCTTCCAGGATGGTGAAGCGCACTAAGCCAAGGACGCCGGCAACAGACGTAGGGATGTCTATGATACCGACGGATTTCGCCGCTCCTCCGATGCCGGCGCACGGAGTGCACCGCTCCTCGATCATCTTAGGCTGCAAGCCATAACGAAGAAGCTCCCGACGCATTGCCTCCAGGGCGTTGGTGCCGACCACCGCGTCCTCGGCCGCGGTATCCACCAAGGCACATCCACTGCGTACTGAAACTCCTGCAAACACCTGCAGGGATGTCCTTGATGTGACAAAGGTGGAAGTGGTTGTCGTCGCCCCAATGCCACGGCACACAATGAAGCTGCCGGCGGCCTTGCCAGCTTTCGAGGAAGCCCCTTTGCCCTTGCCGTTGCTCTGTACTAGGGGACAATCTCGAGCAAAATGACCGAGCTCCTGGCAATTGAAACAGCGGGTTCTTGCTCGGAGATCCTCCACTCCCCCTCGTACCATGCGAGATTCGCCTTTTCGAGGGGCGAACCGACCGCGACCTGCACCAGAGTGTCCGCGGCCCTTTGACTTGCCGCGTTGTCCTTGTCCTCGAGGATCTCTCCGTCTTTGAATGAAGCCTCGTTCTTTGCGACGTGCTTGTAGATCCTTACGCACGTCCTGGTATGCCGAGTGGTACGCTTGGATGTAGCGTGCCTCTTCCTCGTCATACTCCTTGTCCTCGAACCAGAGCGATTCCTCATCCGGTGCTTCCTGAAGCTCGTCATCGAAGTCCTCGTCCTCCTCCCCGTAGTCACCGTTGTCCCCGTCGTAGTCCTCGCCGTCCTCTTCGCCTCCTTCTTCTTCTCGGATGACGGGATAGTGCTTGGCGGCCTGGCTTCCAAGTGCTGCGTTTGCCGCCTGAGCTATCATATCCGGCCGGTCGAGAGGACGAAGTAGGCTGGCCACTTGTTGGAAAGTGAGAAGGGGGCTCAGATCCTTCAGGGCCAGAAGTTCCCGCTGAAATTCGGTAAGCCCTGCCTGTCTGAGTAGTACTCGTCCGGCCACCTGATCATTCAACTTCTCTTGCAAGTATTGCTCCATTTCTTGGCGAGCCACTTCCTTCTGTGCAATGAAAGTTGCAAACGCCTGACCGCGCTGTCGTTCTCCTGCAAACAGAAAATGATCTATAGCAGCCGGAGCCGCAACATCAAGGAAGGGTTTGTATTTCTGAACGATGGCCGTGAGAATCATGCTGTACCCCTTTTCGCTGAGGACATTGGCCAGGTCCACTTGATCTGCTATCTTGCGGGGTTCCGATGACTCAGCAAAGGATTGGTAGAGACGAATTCCCCACTTATGTTTGGGAGTAGTTGTTTCGCTCTCCCAATGTGCCAAAAGCTTCAGCCATGTGCGTAGACTTCCCGGTTGTCCAGACCACGTCGGGATGCTCCTTTTCTCACCTGACAAAGCTGCGATGAATCTCTCGGCCTGGTCGGGATTGTTCCGCATCTCCTCCGGCTTCTTCAGGCCCAGAACCTCGAAAGCACTTTGAACCTGAGGAAAGGCTGTCTGGTTATTGCCACTGCACGGATCCAGTGACGTCGCCGCTCCGGTGGCGTCCTGGAAGACTGGAGTTGTCCTCCCGAGTCCGTTGTCCCCATGGGAGGCTCCCGTCGCAGCAGCAGGGAATCCTGATCCTTTTCCGGAGCTTGCAGTTGGATACCCATTGGACGAGGTAGCCGACGCGAAAGGCATAGAAGTCGTCGGCGCGAAGCTTAATGGTGTATCCGACGCGAAGCTCGGAGACATATTCGGCACGAAGCTTGTAGGCATCCCTGTCGCGAAACTTGTAGGGACCGATAATGGAGGCGTCGACGCGAAGCTTGGTGACATAGTAGCTGCCACTCCTGGGCCGTTCATTGAGCCCTGGTCTGGCCTCCATTGTCGAGCTGTTGTCTCTGTTGCCGTTGGTCCTGCTGGACCGAAAGTGGCGAAGCTCCACGGAGTTTGTGGTCCGAAGTTCGACATTGGCGCTGTTGGTTGCCAAAAGCCGTTGGTGACCGGTGTCCTTACATTCCCTTGAGGAATGTTTCTATCGGCGCCAGCCAAAAGCGAAGTTCTCGAAGCATCTCTTGAAGATCTCCTCGGAAAGTTAGATGAGCTCGCCCCGGGCGGCGCAGTGGTTTCTGATTCAGCATTGGGTCGTACATTCCGCCTAAGCAGATACTCAGCCCAAGGGTCGTCCCGTGTTTCCATGGGATGTCTTGCTGGACCGAACCAGCTCCGCGCTACCAACTAATGGCTCTACGATATCCGGACACCTGTTTTGTCCGCTGCGCATCCACTTGAGCTCAAGGCCTTCGGAGGTGCGAGTGAAGCAAACCGCAGACGCAGTTCGGACTGCACATGACTGCGACAGGTATTGATGATGGACAAAACGCAGCATTACACAGCATTGTCGCAAGTATCAGCGCGTTGTGGTATGTTCGTGTCATGGATGCCACAAGAGTTTGTCCATAAACAGGAGGGGGCTAGATGCTAGAGTAAACGGCTGTCCAGGGTTTGGTTCTGCAAGTACAAGCCTCGAGAGCTACACTTGCTTCACTGGAAAGTTGGAGCCTAGGGCTTAAAACCCTAAACCCTAAACCCTAATCCCTAAACCCTAAACCCTAAACCCTTACTGTAGGCCTAACAGGTTTAGGCTCTACTACCAGGCTACCGGGCCCGAAGCCATGAGAGCTCCAAAGCTGCTAGTGCCTGCGCTGGGGCTTTGTTGGGACTCAGAACCGGCCATGGATCGCCCCAGAGCAAAAGAGATTAGGGTTTAGGGTTTAGGGTTTAGGGTTCTCCACCATCCTATGAAGCCCCCTGTCAGACTCAAGAGCGACCAGCACTTGCAGCAGTGCAGCCGCGATGACGACGTTCTGGTTCGTGTACCGGCTCAAGTAACGGACCAACTGGTGGGTCCTGGGCAATCCCGAGACCCTGCACCTTCCAGATGATTGGCCTAAGTTCGCGTCTGCTGCCGCCGGCTCCTGCTACTGGGATAACTCTAGCAAGAACTAACGCAAGCCTGAAGAAACGCCAGGGAAAGAAGTTCCGCACCTTCTTTGCCTTATCAGTTTACCCACCGTGGTCCATTGCAAGCACCTAGCGTGAGGTTTAGGGAACCCTAAACCCTAAACCCTAAACCGGGATTCGGCCTCAGAGCGGCTCTTGAGGCTTCAGCGCTTAAGCCCCGGGCTCTGAGCCCTAAGGGCTGATTAGGAAGCTCTTGTTATCACGGCTACTTGGAGGATCATGGGTTTGGGGTTTAGGGTTTAGGGTTTAGGGACTTAGCAAGTAAGGTTATCAGTCCCCTAATTGGGGTTATAAGTATAGTTACCTTAGTTATAACCCTACTTACTAAGTCCCATGAACCTTTAAGTAGCAGGTGCGCGAGCATCGTTTGGATCTCATCCTGCTGCCCTTAGCGTCGATCCTTGAGTTGATTGAATAGGGTTTAGGGTTTAAGGTTTAGGGTTTAGGGTTTAGGGCCGTTTAGGGTTTAGGGTCGATCTTTGAGTTGATTGATTCGGAAAGTGGGGGTATATTCATTCAAGGACAGTCGTCTGTTGCAAACTACGCGAGAACTAAAGCTTACAGGTCCTCCCACGAACGCTTGCAGCGAAGATAAGCTACTGGTAGCTTAACTTGAAGCCCTAGACTCTGGTCCTACCATCGTGTCTCTAATAATTAGAATCAGAACATGGTTTTGGGCCCCTTTATAGCAGTAACAAAAAAAGGAACCCCTAAAATAATATTGGTAATCATTTAGGATTCTATGTTAGACCCCTAAACCCTAAACCCTAAACCCTAAACCCTAAACACAAATGCAACTTACACAACCATAGCGGAATCGGGTGGCCTCCAAAAAGCCTCGGAGGGACACTCGCCCAAGGATGGCCGTAAGCTGACAACACCAATAGCAGTGTAGGGTTCAGGGTTTAGGGTTTAGGCTTCCGGGTTTAGGGTTTAGGGATTAGGGCTCAGGGTTTAGGGTTTAGGGTTTAGGGTTTAGGGTTTAGGCTTCAGGCTTCATAGAAATTGTTTAGGGTTCAGGTCCTGAGTTTTGGGCGGTTTTGTGCGGTTTTGTGCGGGTTTTGACCGGGTTTTTCCTTTTGCTTTTTGCTCAATTTTGCTTGCTTTCAAGCAATTTGTTCAGCCAAATATAAATTTTGCTTGCTTTTCAAGCAATTTGTTCAGCCAAATATAAATTGTTTAGGGTTTTCAGTGCAATTTACTTAAACTCTGGTCGCGCGCATCGCAACCCGAGGATTTTTGCGTTTTTGGGCCGAAAGGAGAAGTGCAGATTTACATTCCAGCTGCGGAAATTGGCCAAACCCTCTAAACCCCTTTCTGAACCACTCTTTAAAACCACAACCTGCGCTGGCGCACTTAGGCGCAAGCCT